ATGCGAACCAGCCAAGGAAGTTCTGTATAGAAAACCAGATTCCTGTGGCATCATCAGTGCCGCTGACGGCCCTTTTAAAGCCTGCCACAGTAAAATCGATCCAGCTGCATATGTGTCAAATTGTGTGTTTGATGTGTGTGCAACTGATGGAAACAAGGACACTCTGTGCGACAGCATACAGGCCTACGCACTAGCCTGCCACAGTGAAGGAATTCAAATCCAGCCATGGAGAAGCAAGTCCTTCTGCCGTAGGTCACACACAGCAGCAGTTCCCTCGCCTGTCCTTGCTGTCTGTTCTTTGTTATTTATTAGCACATTTTGTTTTATTGCAGCTGCTTCCTGCCCTCCTCACAGTCACTATGAGGTGTGCGCTGATACTTGCGAGAGGACATGTGCTAGCTTCCTTCAACAAGTTAAGTGCTCTGAGAGATGTTTTGAAGGATGCCAGTGTGACGAAGGCTTTGTTTCTGATGGCATTCAATGTGTTCCACTTGACAAGTGTGGGTGTGTGCACAATGGCAGATACCTGACGGTGAGCTTTAAGAGAGGTTTCATTTTAATTATTATATGCAAAATGTTGTGACCAAAATATCACTGATATATTTCACTGGTGTGCCAAGTGTCAAGAAGGAATAGAGATTCAACTAACCAAAGCTGTATTTCAGGTGGGTCAAGTTGTGGTGGATAAAGATTGCAGCTCCAACTGTGAGTGCCAGGCCTCTGGGCTGGTTACATGCGAAAAGCTGTCCTGTACCAGCGGGGAGGTCTGTGATGTCAGAGATGGGGTCAGAGGTTGTCATATCATACAGGGCCACTGCAATGTCAGTCCAGTGGGCGAGCTGAGCTCCTTTGATGGCATGTCTGGAACAATAGGAACACAAGGGGCTTTTGAGTTGGCCTCTAATTGCGACGAGTCAAGCAAGCAGTGGTTCCGTGTGGTTGTGGACATGAGAATCTGCAGGGAACGGGGGCCTCTCGCTGTTGCCACTTTGTATGTGTTCTTTCAAGACACCACTGTGGCAGTAAACGATCAGCATGAAACCTGGGTGCGGATTTTTAAAAATAAAGCAAAAAGCACTTTTGTATTTTTGTGTTTTTCCCAAAATATATTTGACTTCTTCCCTTATTTTCCCCTCTGTATCATATTTTATCAGGTAAATGGAAAGAAAGTGTCCCTGCCCAGCAACGTGACAAATGAGCTATCAGTCCAGATCTCAGACAGGAGTGTTGTCATTGAGAGGACCTCAGCTGTGCAGGTCACCTTTTCTATTTCACAGAAGGTCACTATCACTGTCGATGGTAACCTTTCTGGTAAGATTTGTGGTGCCTGTGGCGACTACAACAATAACTCCAAGGATGACATGAAGACAGCAGATGGGAAATTTACAAGTGATTTCTCAGTGTTTGTTAGCTCATGGAGTGCTGAAGACTTCTCTAGATGGTGAGTACTTTATACATATTCTGGAAAAACTGCAGTCCTTTGAGATAGGGACTTTAAAAATACAAAAAATACAAATTTTGATTGATTTTATAAGACAAACTGCATAAATATTAATGCATGTTTTTTAAACTTAAAAAATATAAGATCAGTGGTGATCAAATTTTAACTTTCTTAGCTATATGTTTACCAGTAAGTGCAATGAAAAACTAATAATGCGCATCACCAAATAAATTTTAGGGTAATCCTGAAAGATAAGCTGTTAGAAGCAGCTAAAGCCTTAAAACTTTACTTCATACCAAAATGGTCATTTTAAACATACAACTGGATCTACAATGTAATGTTGATTAGAAGGTTAGAGTGGCTCGGTCAGAGACCCAAACTAAATCTGACTAAATTAGATTGAGTCATATTCGAAATACAAACGTCCAAATGTCGTAGATGTAAATGAGCAAAGCTGGTACATTCTCCCAAACACTTAAAATAGAGAGTTTTTTTTTTTTTTTTTTTAAGAGTTAACTAGGGGCTTAAATCACATCTAATCATACTTTTAAGATTTTTTTTTTTTATGTATTTTGACATCATACATTATGTTCAATCCTGTGCTTGCCTATCGCTAAAAAAAAACAAATAACACATTATATTTTGTGGTTGTTCTCTGATAAAAATGTTTAACTAGAAAAAGCATTTGGAGAGCGCATACCTCCGCCAAGTAGCTCATTTTCCCCTAACATATCCACCTTTAATACCTGTTTAAGCAAAATCTTTGAAAAGAAATTCCTGGATCCAGATGGTGACCTAGATTGTCACCTAAATGTAATGGATTGTTCCATGGACTGAGGTGAACATTTGGTTACAAAATGTCATTAAAATCCATTGATATATTTTCAAGTTATCCTGTACACAGACAGACAAACTCTCCTAAAAACATTACCTCCTTGGGGAGGTAAAAACCAATTAATGGAGGTAATTCTCCACATGTGTTTTTACATACCACTAAAACTAACACTGGCTCTCTTGTTTTGAACAAAATAACAAATGCACCTTCTAGTTTATTGTCTTTAACCTTTTCAGTTAGGTCGTAAGATGCAATCTTTTCACTCTATTATCCAAAGTTTCAACTTGATTTGATCAGCTCTGTGAGAGATGGGTTGGTGCTACAGCCATTCAACCGCTTACTCTATAACAGCATGAACTAAACAAGGACTCCACAGAGCCCCATTTAAAGGAATGAGAGTGTGGTTTTTAATTGCATTTGGTTCAATTTAATTAAGAAATGCAAGAGAATCCCCTATGGTAATTACTGATTAAAAAGCAGGTGAGTCTGACAGGCATGGCCATCAAAAGCTACCAAGCTTACAATCCAATCTCTGCTTGTCATCCAAGGACACTTAAGACTCATCTGGGGGCGATATTAATTTGAGAACTTTTCTTTAGTTTGGTATCCTAGCCTCAAGTCAGACCTTTGAAGTGCCTCCCTACCTCTTTTTTATCACCTTGGGAAAGAAGAAAATAACCCTAAGGAGTGCTATTTGCTCTTACGTGTGTTTTGGAAAATACAACTCTCAGAAATGCCTGAAGTCTCTGTTCAGTTTTGCTTGAGTGGAAATAAATTTCCTTTGCCACTTTGACTGCAATTGTTTTCTTTTTACTGCAGTGGCCTGTAAAGAAGCTGCTTCCTGGCTTATAGAGAGGCCACTGGCACACAGGTAAATTATGAACCTATTCTCTGTGGAAAAATGTGAATGAATGAAATAGTTGTAAAGTGTGACGTATTTCTTTTTTCCTCTCTGTTATGCAGGAAGAAGATAGCTTCCTTTGTTTGCAGCTCTGATTGCCATACTTCACCACTTCCTCTTGATTGCCATTGTAGTTTTTGTTCTTTCCTCCACTTGCTCTTTCCTGTTATTGAACTAAGCGGTTTATGCTTGTCTAACATCTCCATCTAGTGGAAGACAAAATCACAGCATCACTATAACTGATTTGGTATACCTTCTAATCTCTATCCTATGTCCTCCTATCTGATCACTGAATAAATGTACAATTGATGACAAGTTGTGTTCAAGTTATTTATCATTTATAAGTATCCCTTAATTAATTTCAAACATTAAAATCAAAAAATTATTTCAAAAATTACATTAGAATTAATGCATGACATTCTCAACCAAAAAAGGCTATGTATTTTGTCTGACAACACATAGGTGAACAGATGTGAAATGGAAAAATTATGCAAAATGTTCCTTTTTTTCTATATCTGAAAAGCATGGCCTATATTTGTATCCAGCTCATTTCACTGTATTTTTAATGACAGAAAAAGTGCAACTATTTGCCTTTAGAAATCATCAATTTAAATCCTGTTGTTTCAGGTTTTTTATGACATCATAAGGAGCAAGGAACATAACTGAGATAAAGCAGCTGATAAATTCAAATTAAACATCCATAGATTGAGGTACTCCACAATCCCATATGTGAAAATTTATAGTGCAATTGTAAAGCTGCCAACCCTTTGTCTTCCTCAATTTCTACCCACTATCTAAACTTACAGGCCACAGAAGTGACGTGTTGATCACTGTTGGATGGAATACTGGACAAAAAAAACAATTTTAAAACAGTTGTATGGTGCAAAAGACTGTGGTGGCGGTTTATGTCAAGGACAAAAACCTTTAGAAATATAGCCAGATGTAAAATTGAAAAGAAGAATCTCTTGTCAAATTCGTATGTTTATGTTCACAGGTGCTCTACCAACAGATAGTTGCAGCTGTAATTGCAGCATAAAACGTTTTTGCAAAGTCTTGAGCAGAACAGAAATACATAATACACTTATTTTACATTTTTTAAGGTAACAGATGTACTTTTATCAATTTAAATGTATGCATAAATCTGTTAGTCTGTCATGTTAAATTCCATTAGCGAACCTGGAGGTTTTGCAAAGGATTTTGTTGTGTTTTCGGGCTTTCCTGCAGCTGACATACCAGGAAAGAGAAACACATGATGGTAAAATACAAGGTCCTTGTTGTGGGTGGGAATCTGGGAACAGAAAGAAAACTCAAGAATGTCCTGTTGACCAACCATAATGAGGCAGGGGCCAACCTACAGACAGGTCCAGTTTGTTTCTGCTCACTTAGAAAGGAATCTGACTATGTTTTTGCACCATGTAGGCAGAAGGAGCAACCTTAAGAGGACTGTTTTAATACTGCCTCTATGCCAGACTGCTATGGTGCTATGGCCCTGAAAGCACTTCACTGTTTATGCCTCCAATTCACAACACCCCGCCCTCCACAAGACAGAAAATGAGTCCACAGTAAAACAAATTCACTAATCTACTCTGTTTAAGGTCTACTAAATGTGCCCATGTTGAGGGGAGATAATGATCAGTGTTCATTAAAATATATCTGAATATTACTGCAGGCAACAGATCAATATTTTCTAGCAGAAAAGAAATACTGTAAACATGCAGCACAGGAGCACTGTGGCAAACAGCGGGGGTTGTGTTGTTTAAAGTTGCAGGGCAGCTCAGGGTGTTTTTTTGGAGTAACTTCAGCGGCACCCCGCCCCCCTCCTCTGGCTCATTCCTCAGAGAAAAACCCAGACGGAGCAAACGTTGACCCAAGTTGAGCAGAAGTCCTCAGGCTTACACTTCTAGAATGCAAAAACATACTCCTAGTTTAGGTTAGACCGTTTGTACATTTTCATTTAATATTTTTTTTAAATATTATTTTGCATGTATATCATTAACTTTGCTTGAGTACAGCTGTGTGGAAACTTTTCTTTGGGAGTTTGATTTACTGCGAATCTCATAGGCATATGAGGCTGATACACGGTAAGTTGATTCCTTGCAGTACACTGGAACTAAAACCCATTTTTGTTTAACAACTATAAATAACTTAAAGTTAAGTTTTAACAGAACAGATTGTTTTAAAGTTTCTAGTACCCTACTTTTTTTTTCTACATTTAATCATCGAATTGCAGCCTTCATGCCCCCAACTAGTAAAACCCTCCTTTATTTATTTATTTATTTATTTTTTATAAAATGGCACATCTGTTTTTCATATTCAAAATGTATATTTATCCCTCCTTGCAGCGGGTTGCTATCAGCCATAGTTAAACATTGGCTTTAATGGATTTTGTAGACATGTTGCCCAACTTCAGGTACCATAGTATCGCGATATTTAGCGATAAGAGCGACGCCAGACCGAAAAGGGAGCACTGGTAACGGCTGTCTGATGAAATTATCAGGCGCGAAAAAGGTCTAAATTCTGGTTTTTATTCTGACTAAAAACACGAGAGGGGGACTGTGTTTGCAAATGCTTGACCTCTTAAATCAAATTATGTGTGTTGACCAAAATCTCAAATAGTTGTTTGTCAAAATGAATAGGCCTACATCTGAAAGAGCAATAGGATGACGCTCAATTGATAACAGGATTGTATGGTTAAAGAAATAAGACAACTATCCATCCATTATCTGACACGCTTGTCCCGAGTGGGGTCCCTATCTCCAGCAGTCAATGGGCAAGAGGCAGGGTACAGCCTGGACAGGTCACCAGTCCTTCGCAGGGCAACACAGAGAAAGAACCATTCACACTCACACCTAAGGAGAATTTAGAGAAAACAATTAACCTAACAGTCATGTTTTTGGACTGTTGGAGGGAGCCAGAGTACCCGGAGAGAACCCAACGCATGCTCAGGGAGAACATGCAAACTCCATGCACAAAAACCCCAGGCCAGCAGTCGAATCCTCAACCTTTTTGCTGCAAGGCAGCAGTGCTACCCACTGCGCCACTGAGCAGCCCATAGGACAACTAAAAAGTTAAAATTTCTGTAACTGATTTACATTGGAACCTGAAAGAATGTGTGACCAGTGGATTCTTCTTAGGGTTTTTGTTTTCATCATTGATTATTGGATTGTCCTTTTAGTGGTTTAATGATTGTAGTTTCTGAAACAGCAGAACATGTACGCTGTGTCTTTTCTAGATTTTGTCTTATTAAAACAATGGTAAAAAAAAATAGTTGGATGAGATTGGATTGTCAACAGTTTTTGAAAACATAAAGAGTGGCACATTGTTATTGGCTTATTGTGGTTCAGTATTTTTGCTTCAGTTGAATCTTAAAAATCAGTTTGGGTTGAACTCTTTGTTGTTGCCAGTTCAAAACATTTGCTATTTGTTGCAGGAATAACTACAGTAAGCAAAAAAGACCTGATATCAATATATTTTCTTCCATTTTATGCACATAAGTCCTTGTACACTTAAGGATGTTGTTTACAATTAGCTGCAAAATGGAGAGAGCTCTTCTGTTATGACTTATATGACAAACTTTCATTGCTTTTGCAATCCCCCATATTTAATCCAGAAATAGGAGTTTCTCTGCTAGCTTAAATATTCCTATTCAGTATGCAGGCTGCAGGGGGTGTTTTTATTTAAACAATGACCAATATTTCCACAACTGCTGGCTACTTATATTCTTACTTGAAACTAGAATGTGCCTTCCCCTGGTCTGATGTCATTTCTACATACTCACTCTGACTTCTGAGACTAACTGAATGCTGCATAAGTTCACTTCAGTTTAAAAGAACAAGACCACACTGAAGCGGGGATCATGTAGTGTAGCTGTTCTTGAGCGCACAGCCCAGCTAGTTGCATAATCAACAATAAATAAAATATTGGTAAATCAATTATTTATTTACCAACAAAACTAGTTGCCAAAAAATGAATAAATAAACACACCATTGATTTATCTTGGAGTTCTGTGAAACTGTGAAATAATGCCAAAGGTTATACTAGGCTCATGTCTGGAATTGATGCCATGAGCCAGATGGTAAATATGTTTTGAATAAAACTCTACAAAGAGCAGCAGACCAAAAGATCAAGGTGACTAAATATTTATCTTTGACAACAGAACCCTGTTGTGAAAAAGCCTTTTCTAACAAAATGAATAACGTTTTAGTTGGAACTCATAAAACCAGTGGATTGTTGGAATTGATATACTAGTATTGCAAAGTGACTGCAACTAGCAATACTAGGTAATTGCATTATGCTTTCTTGCATGTTACACATTCAAACACAAAGTATCTAATGTGATGGATGGAATAAAGTGTAAGACATCAGATTTTTTAATAATGTCTTGTCATTGTATAAGATTTTAGGAAAGGGGTTTGTTAGATAATTTAGATTTCCCAGTTAGAATTTTAACATAGATTACCAGAATGGGTCCAGGGCTAAAGCTCTCTAAGGAAATCAGAAAATATCTAAATTGTGAGATGCTCTAAATTTATGATATACCAGGACCAGAACATGAAGACAACGTTAAGGAAAACAAACTCAGAAAATGGATTACTTATTGGCTTGCAAAGAATACATATTTGATTCTAAACCCATAATACTGATCTGTGGTTAGAGGGAGCCTATTAGTGGCTTACTTTGGTTCTTTTGGCTGCGTTCAGAAGACATTTTGCCTTCAAAGCAAATATTAAGATAATCAACTGTGGTTTGGAGCAAATACAAGTAAGTAAAAATATCTGCATTCATTTTGAGAACTCTATAATCTGAAGTAATAAAAAAATTGTAATTAAATAATCACTGAAATAATTGCAAGTCCTGGTTCCTTCATTTTAACAGCTGAGGATGGATTCTGGATCTGTGACGAGACTAAACCTAAACCCCTTAACAGTTTTGTTGTTGCAAGTCAGAGAATTAGTGACATGCATCGACCATAAACAATACGCTAATGGCTATCCACAATACAAGCTATAAACTAGGGGTGTGCAAAATAATCGTGATGATGATGCATCGTGATTCTAATTTTCGTGATCTACTGCATCGATTCTTGATGTCAAGAATCGATTATTAATTTAAAAAAATGAATAAATAAAATTGCATGAATGGTTGGCGAACAACAGCCAAAAACAAGTGTAATACAACTTCCAGTCCAGTAGATGTCGCTGCAAATGTGTTGACGCACGCTGCCTTGTGTCACAAACATTTCCGGCCGTGGGATACTGTGCCGAGTCATTCAAAAACAAAACATGGAGGAGAAAATATTGCAATGCATCGCAATAATTCAAGTATCGTGATGCATCGTGATAGAATCGCATCGTGGCCTGTGAATCGTGATTCAAATCGAATCGTGACTTCTTTGGCAATACCCACCCCTACTATAAACAGTGGAATTTTTTATGTTTCATGCGTTTCAACACTACAGGTACATGTTTTCTGACCAAGACTGCACAATAATACAGGTGTGAAAAATGCAAATAGAAACGATCCATAAAATGAGCAGACAGAAAGTCCATTACTGTAGCTTGGTTTGCAGCAACCATTTTGGGATGGGGAACAATTTTTGACTTCCTCTCTTAGAATTTGAACTTCTTGAGGTTCCAAAAGCTAATCCATCAACCCAATATACTCCACCAATGGATAATAGCAATATTCTTCCTTCTCTTCTATGTTGTATTAAGGAAAAACAGAACATTTAGGTAAGGTGGTAAACGCCTCCTCAGTGATACTGGTGTAAAATGGTTTAAGAGCTGATGTGTTTAAAGAGGCGGTCTGAACTGAAGTCTCCTTTTTTGACCTATGAAATGACTGCGTAAATTCTAGTTTATTATAATCCACTTTGATCTACTTAAAGTTCAGCTTTATGTGCTTCTTTACTGTCTCCCCATTATTTGCTTTTATATAACTCAGAGGTCTGACAAACAAGATTATTGGATTGCCTCTTGTTGGAATAACTCGCTCTGTTTGTTTGATTAAACCTGATTGGCAGGTCTTTGTACTTAATCCCGTTCCCGGGGCTTGAAGCATTCATTTTCCTCTCTGACTCCAGCACCATGTTCACACCCCCACACTGGTTTTGCATGAATATCCAGAAGTGCTCACGGCAGAGGAGGGAACTGCTGGTTCCCCTTTGATCTCTGCACTGCACACCATTTAATTTCATTGCACAGGTTTTCTTAACTGCACAGTTACGTTATATCCACCTGTGTTGCCTTTCTGTTCTGGTATATTCGGTCGTAGAAGCGGGGCAAAATCGGAGTCAGTGTAATCTCCAAAAAGAGAGCCTCTTCAGCTCCTGTGTGTCCAATTGCAATTGGCTGTCTGGTTCCCCATAATCTTAAGGGTGTAAGAGAATCCCAGAGGAATGTTCTAGATAATATATAGATCGAAAAACAGCCCCAGGAGGCCCAACCCCCACTCATGTTGATGACCCAGCGAAATCCACTGACCAAACACCGAGTGCAACTTTACACTTCCCTTTTCGTTGCACCCCTCTGCTGCCAAGAAGATGTTCTGAGATGCAGGGCCAAAAATAGATACTCTTCTCCTACTCTGAGCCTGGAAAACAAATTATTAAAACACAGATCCCACTATGTTCCCATCTACAAAGATGGAGCATTATGTCTCCCGTCAGAAGTGAAATCCCTTGGATAGGTCCGCTTTACAGCTGAAACTCAGCTCCATTTAGTCCTCGTAAGGTCATAACTAAACAGTGCAATATTATACCTCTGTGTAGTTCAACCTGAGAATGTCAAAAAGATCTATATCAAGTGACAACACAGTGGCATTCAAAGTGGTCCTTCAACCTATTCACATTTAGTCACATTATCATTCCAAACTTCAGCATATGATATTAGGATGTTAAAAAAAAAAAAGATAAACACAAACAGTGCAAAAAAGTTTACTGCAGTAACAGCCTCACTGCCAGATTTTATGTAAACTGCACCACATTCCTTCCACTGTTGGATGATTGCGCTGACAGTCTATGTTGGGTGTTTGTAGTATTGGTTTTAAATTATAGACCTAACATTGATTTTTATTTCCAACTCAATCCCCAACCTGTCTCCTGTCTTTTTTGGTTTTATACAATCATTTGATGAGTTGTTCTCCAATAAACCACTTAGACCTTCAATGAACAGCTTAATTTATACTTCAATTATTTACAAAAAAGTGGACTCTTCTTACTAATTGGATGCTCTTTAACATAATTGTTATTTTGCTTTTATTTTAATTGGATCATTTCAAATAGGGCTGGAAAAAAACCTTAAAACCATGTGTTCTATTGTTTTTACTTATCATCATGTGCTATTTTTATTGATGTAGAATTGTTTTTAGAAAATGCAGGCTGATTTATAAGCAGAATCTTGTTGCTAAGGTTTCATGAGACCAAACCTAAACTTATCTGATGTCAACTTCATCTGACCTTTTAACCATGATGTGTCCTTTCTGTTGTTCATTCAAACAGGCACTATGGATCTTATATTAGCAGTGGCATTCACCTCCTGGCTGGCTCCTGTGCTTGGTGAGCATACAGTGTGTGTATATGTATATATATATATATATATATATATATATATATATATATATATATATATATATATATATATTATTTTATTTATATATATTATTTTATTTATTTTTTTTTACTAACTGTTTGGCTTCCGATCCCTTGCAGTTTTTCTTATTCCATACATGTAGTTGTGTTTTAAGTTCCTGATGTGTGTGTATATGACAGGATCAGCATTTGGCAGGGAGGTTTTTGGTAAGTTTCCTGCATCAGATCGGTTCCTCCCTTAAGCTGCATGGCCTTTACACCCAAATGCTGTTTTCTCAGCTGGCTTTTTTTGAACAGCACCTCTTGTTTGGATTGCAATAAATAATTTTTCAGCTCACTTTCCAGTTAACTCTTTTGTCTGGAGGTTTCGTTCTGTTCCCCCCTGGAAAGGTTTTTACTTTTGCAGTTTGAATAATCAGTTATTCAGAGTCCAGCCTAGCTTTTCCTTGTTAATACAAATCCTGGTTTCTGACTTGTTTCCCTGGGTTATCCACATATCATCAGCAAAGTTTAGGGTAAAGCAGATTTGCCTACATTATTTTTGTGGGGTTGTTTCTTAACTCGGTCTAATGTTTTAGCTACAGGTTACTTTTTAACACTTGTAGAAAGGCAACATATGTCCTCGCCTGATAGAGAAAAAGATATATTTTTTTTTCAGTCTAAGAATAAGTTAAGAGATAAGATCAAGAATGTTCAGTAAGCAGGTTGTAGTGGTCAGTATTAAAAACAGTGCAATCTATTTAACTTTAATAATTAGTTTGAAGTGTAAAATATCATTTTTGATGTGCTGTCTAATATGTTTTCAAGCACACATCTATCCCATGACTTCCATTTAATATGCCTTACAGCAGCTCATTATTTTTGTCATAATACCTTTACATTAACTAATGATGTGAAATGTCAGGTCGTCCAAATATTTATATCACTATTGTCTAAACAGAAGTGCAGAAACAATGTCTGCTTTATATCTGGTATTAACCACAGTTAGTTGCTAAATGGCGCTGCATGCTTCCCTTTTATGACTCTAAACTCAAGGTGGAAATTAGGATTCAGCAATTAAAGTTGGCCTTTTATCAAGGTTTCCCTAGATTTTTTTGTAGCCAAAACTTGTTTTCCATAAAAAACATTAACAGAACAGAGAACAGAAGGTAATAAAGCATTATACAGCTGGAAACAAGCTAATATGATTATACATTTGCAAGTGTCAGTACATTTTTATCCTCTTAATTAGACAACCATATAAAGAGTTGATTGTTATGCAATGATTTAGGTTAACAACACGACTAGGGCTTGGTAAAAAATATCTATTTAATCGATTTTGAATTGATTCCTTTACATTTTTGCAAAATCAATGTCTAGGGAATGAGATCGATTAGTTTTATAGTGACGCGCGTGACGTTCACATTCAAATGAGCAGGAAAGATGCACTCAAAAGTACTTCAAGCCAGACAGCTGCAAATATAACCAATAGGTTAAATGAAGACATTAACAAATGGAGGCTGACCAGCAAACACCCTGTAGTTGTTACAGACAACGCTGCAAGTATGGTTTGTGCTTTGAAGATAATGCTGCTCATGAATGTCTGCTGTGTCACGTCTGCTTGCTCGAGTGAGGCTTTTTCACTTTTCTTGAACAAGTTTGCACTTTTGAGACAGTTTGGTTCACATCTCAAGTTTAAACTGTCTGATTTACAAGTTTGCACTTTGTGTTTAATATGACAGGAAAAAATAAATTACATGAGTATTTTGAAACACAGTTAAACCATTTTCATTATTGTAAAAATAGATCGAATCGAGATTAATCGATTTAGAACTGAATGAATCAAAATCGAATCGATTCAGGACTTTGGCGAAAATAGCCCTAAACATGACAAAGTAAGTATGTGACACGCCGAGCAGAAATATTTACACTCTACTTCAGTTACATTTTATTATGCTGTATCTTTTGTGGTGTAAAACAAAATGCAGTGCCACTATAATACATGGTTTTGGTTTAATTTTTAATATAAATAATCTAAAGCGGGGGATGTATTCGTAATTGGCCTCACTGTGTTAATGTCAAGACAGATGTTTGGTTGGATTTATGGTTGGAAAATTTTGACTGGGTACTTCTAACAGATCCAGATGTTTGTTTTTCTTTACGTTTTTTGCCCCCCCTAACATTTTTTTTCACATAGCTTTGCTCTTAGAGAGAGACTAGACTTAGACTTAGACTTGACTTTATTAATCCCTTGGGATTACTCCCTTCGGGAAATTGTATTTCCAGTAGCAGGAAAAAAATTGCACATACTGTACAAGAAAATAGAGGATGTTTAGGCACAGTATATACAATAGAAAAATAAAAACAATTAAATAAGATATAGGAAGATGTATTGGGGGATGAGGATAGACAAATAAATACAGATAAATACAGAGGGCTATAGCAAAACAATAACTTAAATTAACAGTTATGTAGTGTATTGCACTTCTTCTTCTTTATTTAGTTCCCACTATCTTCCTTTCTCCCTCGAACCAGCTAGCCTCTCTCTGAAGTAAAACAGGAGCAGCATGCTCCCAGCACTATGTCTAGTGGCTGGGATTGTGTGTCCAGCATGGTTTCCCCCTGTTAGTTTTTAAGCCTTTTATAATGTTTAACATGTTAACTGAAAACTGTTGCTCTAATCCAGAGGTCTTCAACCTCTTCAGAGGACCTACTGTCCTGCATATTTTAGATGAGTTTCTTTAGATCAAATGATGGCAATACTTCCTCAGCAGCTACCAAGGGCTGCATAGGCCTGTTAATCAACAATTTAGTTAAGTCAGATGTGTAAAAGCAGGGAAAAACCTAAAAAATGCAGGACAACAGGTCTTTAGGACCAAAGTTAAAGACCCCTGCTGTAATTTAATCAAAGCACCTTGTTCCACATGTTTACTGTGTTTCTCCTACTGCAGATGTGACTTCTGATGACCTTTGGACATTAACTTGATTAATTGCTTGATTTATGTTGCATTTGCACACTTTCATATGCTGTCCAAAATACTTATATAAAACATATATTCATGGATTGAATGACTAATAATTGAGTCTTAAGTTGTGGATTTCAGCCGCTCCTCTTTGCAGTTGAATTTTACCATAATTGGCCGTCTTTACTAATGGAATTACTTTAAAGACTATTAGTGGCTCTGGATTTTATTTAGGAGCATCAGAGTAAAAAAAAAACTGAATATGACTGCAATATAATTGCAGAACATTTTGATTATTAATCAATCAAAAAAAAATGTATTATATTCCATAAAACTTACAATTAGGTACTGTCGTATAAATAGGCGGGCATTTTTATTGACAAAGCAAAAACTATTTCAATGCTTTGTCAAACTATAATACTAAGTATTGCTTTCTAGGGTGTACTTAACTTTTTTCAGTTTTGTTTCCCTATATTTGGGATTTGAAGGCTCAGCATGTACCATGCTATGTCTGCTCAGGTGTTGTTACCTTTGTCTTTTGCTGACAGGCAGTAACCACCAGCTGAAATGTTCTTTTCTCTTTTACAGCCTCAGCAGCAGAAGATGAGAAAGGTGAGAAAAGTTCAAGCAAAACCCTAGAATAGTAGATTTATTACCAATTTACGGCCATTTAAATCAGGAGTATGAGCGCTGAAGTCCTGAAACAACTGCATAACTGTCATCTGATGAGCAGAGCTTGAAGTGTGTCACTGGTTACATCTGCCTCTCATTTATTATCTCTGTCTTTTTTGCTTTCAGACTATGACAGCCCTTTTCATTATGGTGAGTGTTGAGCAGCCAATGGTAGACATTTTAACGGTCAGCGCCTCTGCAAAGGAAACATCTGGAAAACTGAGATGAGTGAGCAATTGGTCTTGGATTTCTAGATGTGATGGAAAAGTTTCATTCCCTAGGTGGAAGCTTCTGGCACAGAGCCAAAAGAAACATTTGACATCCTGTCTCTGCTGATTTGATACTAAAGTGAAATCTTTAGATGACACTATATGATAGAAAAGATTGGTCGTTTTTGGGTTTGGTTTTTGTTTTCTTATTTTCTGTTTGGGTTGAAAGATTAAACTCCCATGCATTTACATTTGCATTTACTTTCAACAAAAATTAGCTGTCACCTGAAAGCAATAAGCCAACAGGATGTTTGCAAGAGGCACTTTTTTTTTTTTTTGACAGAAAAAAAATCTGTTTTGTTTTTCAGAGGTTAAAAAAATCATTAAAAAAACTTTAATTCCATAAATGTTTCAGTGTTCAAACAAAAGTATCTGGATATTTATGGTTGATGATGTAACATGCCTAGATAATATTTACGACTACTATTTAGTTGTATAAGAAAATTCTTTAGCTGCTCACATAGAGCCGGATCTATCAAAGGTTTGCGTGTATAAAAACGTGAGCTATTTCACTGCGCACGCTAAAAAATGTACAAACTGATCTATCAACAGCGTGCTAAAAGTATTTGGTCTTTAAAACGTGCTAAATAGCGCCTCTTATCCATTTAGTACTTTTTCTGCAATGAATATGCAATATGGGGCGTTTACACGCAAAAGTGCGTCTTGTGGGAGGAGAACATGTAAATATATTAATTTAGCACTCGCAAAGTGATTTATCAAACCTGCAGAGATGGCAAAAGTACTCACTTTCCGTACTTGAGTAAAAGTACAGATACTTGTGTTAAAAAATACTCTGGTAAAAGTGGAAGTACTGATTAAACTTCTTTACTCAAGTAAAAGTAACAAAGTACAGGCTTGTAAATTTACTTAAAGTATAAAAGTAAAAGTAGAAACTACTTTTTTCATGCCGTTGCCTACATTTCAAATGGATGTCTGCCAATAGGACTAGATCTCCGTTGTGTTCATTTTCAATCATCTCGTCGTCCATGCTACTATGCTAACGCCACCGCCACCAAGCTGCAATGATTTGCCGCGAATGAATACAGCCGAATCTGTCGATTCATCTTGTAGTGGTGCGTCAAATGCAACGTAGATTCCCATCCAATTAGATTGAATTTGGTATTGATGACGTGAAAAATAACAGTAACTCCATTGAAATGATTCAAAACTAAAGTAACGAGACAATTTTTTAAAATGTAAGGAGTAGAAAGTACAGATATTTGTGTAAAAATGTAAGGAGTAGAAGTAAATAGTCGCCATAAAAATAAGTAGTAAAGTAAAGTAAAAATATCAGAAAAATCTACTTGAGTACAGTAACGAAGTATTTGTACTTTGTTACCTTCCATCTCTGCAAACCTGAAAGCAATTTTGCTAACGGTATCTGACTCTATATTTAACATGTTTCAAAAGAAGGTGCAAATGGTCTGTATGCGTAATTGCGCACACATGGCAGCGGTTATTGTCGCAAGAAGGAGACATCGAAATGAAGCAAGGAGACGCAGAGAATGCATTTTTTCACTCTGTGTGAATATTTTTGGAATGAACGAGGAAACAATCATCAAAACATATCATTTATCCAGCATTGCCATTTTGGAGCTGTTGGGGGAACTCCAAATGAATTTGGAGCCAGCCACAAGGAGGACCCACGCAATACCAGATATCACAAAACTCCTTGCAACGTTGCACTTTTTTGCATCTGGGATCTCCCAATCTCGTTTTTCAGAAGTGCTGTCCGACGTTTTAAATGCCATGTCGCCCTGACGCCCTAACGGAGAACCCCGACCTCCTCCTTGCACCTGTGGAGCAACATGCCAATGCTGCGGGGATGCGTAGACACAGTCATCTTATCCACAGTCACTTCTTGTGAGCCATTTGGTATGTGCATTTTTCTACAGGCCAATATAAAACACCTGTTTTTTTTGTTTTTTTTTGTTTTTACTGCAGTGAAGTAGAAATTCAGCCACATACCACCTTAGGGAATAAAGGTTGCCAACGTTTATATATATATATATATATATATATATATATATATATATATATATATATATATATATATTTTTTTTTTTTTTTTTTTTTTTTGGAGGGGGTGAGGGTGTCACTGTAACATTAAAATTTCTTAATGCACTAGTTTGCACAAACTACAAACTACTTTGCCGCAAACCACAAAACGCGTAAAACCATCATTTAAATAGGGCGTCTCCAACAGTTTTGCACCTGCCACCAGTTACGCAATCGCTCTTGTTAAATCACCTGCAAACCATGGTTCAGCCCCTCGCGCAAAATTCCAGTTTGCGAGCGCAAATTACTGCACGCAAAATTGGATCTTGATAAATCCGGCCCATAGTGTACTCCTAATAAAATTTATTTCATATTTCTACATATAAAGCATACATCTTGTGCACTAAAATATATCTTCAGTTGAAAAACCGCAAAATGTAATTAAAATAAAGGCCTGAACACCCCGGCTTCATACAACTTTTTAATCTCCAATTTGATTTTTTTTTCCATGTCACAGTGACTGCATATAGAGAAAATCGACTACGCAGGGTGGGTTACTTTTGTCTTTGTGCTTTACACAATTATAAAACAAATTTCCCCCATTTGACTTGGACAAATTATGAATAATTATAAAAACAAAAAAAAACAATGGTACATGCTTTAAAGCAAAGCCTCACTTAACGAGTCTGCAGCATCTCAGACCAGAACAGATAGAGAATGTTCATATGCCTACCGGTATATTAAAAACATAATGAGATCTACGGGTATAGAAAAGAAAAACACAGCAATAAACACCATGGGACGGTTTATATGCTGACCGAGGCAGTGAGAGGTGATTCTCTGTGAGAGATCTGTGAAGGTTATCAAAAGATTATATAAAGATATTTATAAAGAGGTGAGGTGATACGCAGTGTTTACCGGCTCTGTCTTCCCATTGTTATTTAGTTTTTTTGTGACGCTCAAAGACGATCACTATTTTATAGCCGTTTTTTCCCCTCCTGACGTATATATATATATATATATATATATATATATATATATATATATATATATATATATATAATTTTTTTTTGTTTGCGTTTTTTTTTTTTTTTTTTAAGAGATTGATAAACTTGGCTTGATTTGCGAGGCTCATAGAGGATCACTACTTTATCCGTTTTCTGTCCTTCTGAACTCCTATCATGGGTAAAGTATTATTTTTTTTTTTCTTTTTTTTTTTCTATATATGCGATCTGTGACTCCAAAAAGTGACAGTTATTCCGTGCGAATAACAGATTTTATTTAGTATTGTCCCCAAAGCAGATGTGTTTTACTTTCTAACCGTGTCTCTCTTCCTATCAGACCCGTGAATATGCTGCTAAATTGCTGCATAGACCAACTAAAATAGACCGGGGGTCTTTCTCAGTGTGACCTACGCAAGCCCCCTTGTGTAAAATCCTGTCGAGTGTAAACGTCTCCATTGAATTTCAATGGCCGCTAAATGCAATGACCTCCTCCGAAACGATTTTCTGTCAGATCGGATACAAAATCGGATCGGGTGTGTTCTGGCCTTAGGAAAATGTCTGTGTCTAGGAGAAAATATAGGAAAAGTGTAATATACAGGTGCTGGTCATAAAATTAGAATATCATGAAAAAGTAGATTGATTTCAGTAATTCCATTTAAAAAGTGAAACTTGTATATTATATTCATACATTACATACAAACTCATATATTTCAGATGTTTATTTTGTTTAATTTTGATGATTACAAATGACAACAAATGAAAATCTCAAATTCATCATATCAGAAAATTAGAATATTACTGAAGACCAATAAAAACAAAGGATTTATAGAAATGTTGGCCAACTGAAAAGTATGAACATGAAAAGTATGAGCATGTACAGCACTCAGTATTTAGTTGGGCCTCCTTTGGCCTGTATTACTGCAGCAATGCGGCGTGGCATGGAGTCGATCAGTCTGTGGCACTGCTCAGGTGTTATGATAGCCCAGGTTGCTCTAATAGTGGCTTTTAGCTCTTCTGAATTGTTGGGTCTGGTGTATTGCATCTTCTTCTTCACAATACCCCATAGATTTTCTATGGGGTTAAGGTCAGGAGAGTTTGCTGGCCAATTAAGAACAGGGATACCATGGTCCTTCAACCAGGTACTGGTAGCTTTGGCACTGTGTGCAGGTGCCAAGTCCTGTTGGAAAATGAAATCTGCATCTCCAAAAAGTTGGTCAGCTGCAGGAAGCATGAAGTGCTCTAAAACTTCCTGGTATGTGGCTGCGTTGACCCTGGACCTCAGAAAACACAATGGACCAACACCAGCAGATGACATGGCACCCCAAACCATCACTGACTGTGGAAACTTTACACTGGACTTCAAGCAACGTGGATGAAGTGCCTCTCTTCTTTTCCTCCAGACTCTGGGACCTTGATTTCCAAAGGAAATGCAAAATTTACTTTCATCAGAGAACATGACTTTGGACCACTCACCAGCAGTCCAGTCCTGTTTCTCTTTAGCCCAGGCAAGACGCTTCTGACGCTGTCTGTGGTTCAAGAGTGGCTTGACACAAGGAATGCGACAGCAGAAACCCATGTCTTTCATACGTCTGTGTGTGGTGGTTCTTGAAGCACTCACTCCAGCTGCAGTCCACTCTTTGTGAATCTCCCCCACATTTTTGAATGGGTTTTGTTTCACAATCCTCTCCAGGGTGCGGTTATCTCTCTTGCTTGTACACTTTTTTCGACCACATCTTTTCCTTCCCTTCGCCTCTCTATTAATGTGCTTGGACACTGAGCTCTGTGAACAGCCAGCCTCTTTAGCGATGACCTTTTGTGTCTTGCCCTCCTTGTGCAAGGTGTCGATGGTCGTCTTTTGGACAACTGTCAAGTCAGCAGTCTTCCCCATGATTGTGTAGCCTATAGAACTAGACTGAAAGACCATTTAAAGGCTTTTGCAGGTGGTTTGAGTTAATTAGCTGATTAGAGTGTGGCACCAGGGGCCATCAATTTTGAACCTTTTCACAATATTCTAATTTTCTGATATGATGAATTTGAGATTTTCATTTGTTGTCATTTGTAATCATCAAAATTAAACAAAATAAACATCTGAAATATATGAGTTTGTATGTAATGTATGAATATAATATACAAGTTTCACTTTTTAAATGGAATTACTGAAATCAATCTACTTTTTCATGATATTCTAATTTTATGACCAGCACCTGTAAACTAGGGAACTATTTGGTTTATTGAAGGTGAAAAAGCAAAGAATAACCATTTTTGCTCAAATTTAAGATTGCAAGCATTTCTGAATAACTGATTTAATTTTATTAAACTTTCCTAAAGCTTGTAGGAATTTCAATACAGTCGTCAAACAATTTATTTGAACATTTCCTCAGTCACCTGTACGTAAATCAGTAATTATTTGTATTAGTTGCTGTATTTTTATTTGAACATTTTGTTATGATGGTGCTTATTCATAATAAACCTTAAAACGGACTTGTTTGGTGCAATAAATAAGACCAAATGATGACTATTTTCCAAATATATGCTAAGTTTTCCTTTGATCAAGTGAGGCCTTCTTCAGTAAATTTGAACATTTTTCTGGTACTTACACATACTTTTTTGGTCTGTGGACCACTACAAAATAAAATGTATTTTTGTTACTTTTCAGTCTGCTTATCAAACAACAATCCTTTGTAAAAAGTATGAACACAAAAACACTAGCTATTTTCATTTTTACATTTTCAGCCATTGTTCTCATTACACATTTCTAGTGGAGTTAAATTGTATCTATTTGCATGTTAGAGTTTTCCTGTAATACTAAACAACTACCGTAAATCACATAACTGAATGAGGTGAGATCGCGACCTCTAGTGGGTCAGTAGAGGTACTGCATTATAGATTTTATATGCCGCAATGCTTTTTATCAAAAGGAATATGCAAGAGTTGATGTTGTAGTTTATCAGCTTTTTGGATTAATCTCATTATTTGTCAATCATTGGAATTTTTGCATAAATACAACACAATTATTAGATGCAACTGATGGATGATGTTTTGTTCTCATTCCTTTCTCCTTTTAAAAGTGTTTTTTTTTTTTTGCATACAAAAGATGGTTGATACTTGTTTTTATGGTCAATAAACCAACAAATTGAAAATCACTGAATGGATTAGTTTTTTTCTTTTTCTGTTGCCCTCTGAATGTTTTCTGGGTTCAGCTGGTGTCAGGGCTCTTTTTCTTGTAATCACTGACTTTAGGTACTGTGTATCCAGTGGCTTTAGAACAGTGGTTTCCATAATGGGAAGTTTATTAACAGTTACACTTATATTTTCCAAACCTATAAATTATATTATATTATAATTATATAAATTCCTGATGCTGAAGTCATCATGGAGGGTTTGCAGCTATTTTTAGACACAGCTTGACCCCAACTTTTACATTTGTGGGATCTCAACAGAATCATTTTAGAACTGCAAATTGCTTGTGCAGTTTTGTTTTTAAATTCTGAGACATCTCATTAAATGCCCCAAAAACACTTATTTGTTTTGGCTAAACTGTCCCTGACTTATTTGTTGTTTTTTTGGGTTCAGATTATGAATCTCTGAGAATCGGCGGACTGGTTTTTGCTGTTGCTCTGTTCCTGCTGGGCATTTTCCTCATCGTCAGTAAGTGTTGAAGTTTACACATGCAAACATTTACATTGAAATGATGCTTCAGAGCTTATAGATGCCTTTTTCTCACATGCTGCTTCCAAATTGTCTGCACCATTTTGGCCCACATAGCTTGCTCTTTTCTTTCACTCATGGCACCCTAGAAGGATTCCTGCTCCTACCTGCCAGCTCATCCTGCTTCTGCCAGTTAAAGACATGAAGCCATAACTAAGTGATAAATAATTTAGTGGGACTCAACCCCTCTGCAGCACTTCCTCTGTTTACAAAGACTAGAGTTAGTTTAAAATGGCTCTAGGAGAAGAGCAGGTTGTAAAAGCTTTCTGACAGGAGAAGGATCATTTATTCACAGCTGCTAAAGATGCATCAGCTAATTAAGACTAACTGATAATTTAGTGTTCAAATGCTATTCCAAACCTGTACATCGCCGTAAGATTAAAATATGCTAAGGAAAAGGATAAATTTAAGGTAATAGATAAATAAAACAGGTAATAAATTACTGGTTTATGCCTTTTTGAGTAGTAATATCATAATACTAAAATTATTTGTGATGCCTAGAAGCTGATCCCATCTTATGATCCTTTTATTACTCAGCATTTTCTTTACTCATGCTTAACTCATAAGACCTGAAAACCAGTTTTTGAAAACAAAAAAACATACCTATCATAGATTCCTGTTGTTTAATCGTATTTTTATTTTAGATTAAACTTTTGATATTAACTACATCCTTAGAAGGTGGCAGGGTTTTCTTACGAGACTTTAATCTGCTGGTCCAGGTGATTGTTTTTATGAATTTGTTTTTTTATTCTTTTTCGCGTTGCTTAAAAGTTAAAGGGTTTTTGTTTGAATTTACTGATTTCTTTCTTAACCAAGTATGGTTAAAATGTTACATGCAGGCGTCGATATATGCAGACATCCCAATGAATAGTTGGATTTATGTGGTTAAAATGTTGCATCAAAAAAGTTTTTGGGATAAATTTGTCTAGAGATTTGAAAACCCTCAGAAATCTGTTTCCTGCCTTGGTCACTGAGGCTAAGTTTGCCCTGAAAATGTTCAAACCAGCACTCAATCAGAAGTGTTCCTAAATATGCAATGTTAGCTTTTTTATTCATTTCAAAGTCAGATGTTTGGTATATTATATATATATTTAATACATTTTAAATATAATGTTCCACCCATACTTTTTCATCAACAGGTCGAAAGTGTTCCTGTTCAAAGAGCGACAAGTCAAGGTAAATTGTGCTTTAAACAATATACAATTTACTGTAGATATATTAAATGACACATAAGCAACATGAACTAAGAATAATAAAAATGATAAGTAGAGTTAAAATAAGGAAAAATAAGAATAAAATAATCAGCTCAGCCTGAATTAAAAGTCAGAGCAAACAGGTAGTTTTTTTTTTCCACAAATACTTGAATTTCTATTAAAGAGACTATAAAAAAAAACCTTGAGATTTCTTTTATTATTATTATGTTGTGAATGCAGAAATGCAATTTATATAGCGCCAATTCACAACACGTCATCTCAAGACACTTTACAGAGACAATTCACCCAGATCATACAGTCAAATTGATTAAAAGTTTTCTATCTAAGGAAAACCAGTTGATTGCAATCCCTCACACCAAATGTGCTTATAGCGACAGTGGAGAGGAAAAACTCCCTTTTAACATGAAGAAATCTCCAGCAGAACCAGGCTCAGTGTGAGTTACCATCTGCTGTGGCCGACTGGGGTTCAAGGAGACAGAAGCAGAGATACAGAAAGAAGCAGAGATACAAAGGAACTTGTCAACCAGTTTCACAGGCAGCCCTGCCCAGGAAACACACAGTCAGGCAGACGAGCTCCGAGGCAGCTCCCACGTCAGAGGATGAAGAGAGCACATCTACCACTCACAGTCAGGGAAACAGGACTACACTAAAAAATAGGCCAAGCTCAAACATCTATAAACAAAGGTGTTGATGGCAGCAGCACAGCTGATATTTCTCTCCAGGATGGATTCACAGTCAAACAGGAACAGACCAGATGAAGCTACTATGAGAAAAAGCAGAGAGAGCAAAACGTTAGAGATTGAACTAACATATTCTGCAGAGTGGGAGAATAGAGATAGAATGATGAAAAAGGGGTCCCTATGTCCTCCAGCGGTCTAAGCCTATGGCAGCATAACTACAGAGATGGCTCAGGATAACCTGAGCCACTCTAACTATAAGCTTTATCAAAAAGGAAAGTTTTAAGCCTAGTCTTAAAAGTAGACATGGTGTCTGCCTCACAGACTAAAACTGGTAGTTGGTTCCACAGGAGAGGAGCCTGATAACTAAAAGATCTGCCTCCCATTCTATTTTTAGAAATTCTAGGAACCACTAGTAAACCTGCAGATTGAGAGAAAAGTGCTCTATTAGGAACATAAGGAACAATCATATCTCTGATATAAGATGGAGCTTGGCCATTTAAGGTTTTATATGTGAGAAGGAGGATTTTAAAATTTCTTCTGGATTTAACAGAAAGCCAATGAAGAGAAGCCGGAATAGGACAGACATGATCCCTCTTTTTAATTTTCATCAGAACTCTGGCTGCAGCATTTTGGATCAGCTGAAGGTTTTTAACTACAGTTTGTGGACTTCATGATAGTAAAGAATTACAATAGTCCAGCCTTAAAGTAACAAATGCATGGACTAGTTTCTCAGCATCACCCCTGGACAGGATATTTCTATTTTTTGCAATATTCCTCAAATGAAAGAAGGAAATTCTAGAAACCTCTTTTATATGGGATTTAAATGACAGGTTTAGATCATAAATAACACCAATATTTTTTACTTTATTATCTGAGGGTAATTTAATCCCATCCAAATGAAGCGAGTGACTAATCAGACTATAACTTCTGTTTTGTCTGCATTCAGAAGGAGAAAGTTAAGAGTCATCCAGGTTTTTATGTCTTCAAGACATGCCTGTAATGTAATGGGTTAGCTTAATCTGGATATATAGACAGAAATAGCTGCGTATCATCAGCATGACAGTGGAAATTAATCTCTTTTCTGTGATGCCCTTAGGTCCAGGGGTCCTGAAGTTGAATCAGCTGTCCAAAGAGGTATATGTATAACTATTTTTATATCTTCATATGACATTTAAATATTCAACTAGAATTAGCATCTAAAACATGTTTTTGTATTTTTTTTTTCTCCAGCTTAACAGCGGCTCTATTAAAAACTGGTAAGTGTTAATCCTCAGTGTATCCACTGATTTAAACGAGAAATCAAGCAGAGTTGTTCTGCTTGTTTCTGCAGCTTGCCGGAACCCACCACTAGGTGGCAGCAAATACAATGAAGACAGCAGAGAAAAACCCTTCCAGGAGGACAGCATTGAGCTTTTTTTAAATGCCATAATCCAGCTGTTGTTTCTTTTTTCTCTCTCCATTTTTATGTTTTTATCATCAGTATTTGTCGCTTGATGATGTTTCATGTTTTTACAGTAGTGATGGTGTGATTCTCATGTGTATTTCTCTGATTGTCAAACAAATGCTAAATAATAAAGCAAACATCTAAAAAAAAATTGATGATTTTATCCTAATTATTGTTGGTAGTAGTACTGCACATGTTGCCATCTGTTTTGCTGCACTCATTTTTTCTGCTGACACTGCACACAGTTCATTTACACATGCAGTAGAAACTACCAGCAGTGAAAGAGGGCACACTGCATTATGTCGCCTTCAGGAAGCCTCCCTTTAAGGAGCGATATTGCACCCCTCTTTGGTTTCCATGCTGTAAAACAGCAGTTTTAGGCCAGTAAAGCTGGAGGCTGCTGCTGCAAAAAAAATAATGCATAAGGGTGTTTTAGTCTCTTTGCACTGCAACAAAAATGGTGTTAAAAGCTGCATTTACTGAATGTATTCACATATCAACCAAAGTGTGTTTAGATAACTTTAAACAAAATATGTAGTTCATATTAAAACTTTTCCAAATTTGATATCATATAGCAAAATAATGTTTTATCTCTAGTAGTTATTAAATGTTGTGTCCATTTGTCGTCTTTGGGATGGCCTATTATATCCTCTTATCTCATACCTGTGTAGTGGGAATTGCCTCTAGATTGCACCAGTAGCTGCGAATAATGACTGCAGTGTCTTATTGTCAACACCAGGGGATCCTTGCTGAGCTTGTACAATGCAGTCTCTCCATCTGCTCTGCTTGCTGCACTGCCCACATTCTCCATCTACATCCAGGCTGTAAGTGCAACCCAGAGACGTGCTAAATTTCCAGCAGGACACAACACTCCCTCAAATCTTTGCAACACAACCATGGCGACCGCAGGTTTGTTTGGGTTTTTTTTATGTTCTTTATTTTTTTTAGTTTTTTTTATATATATGTCTCACTTAACATCTGGCACAAAGTTATTTTGGATTTTAAAGGGGGAAACTAAGTTTGGATCATTTGATTCCAGTCTGTATGTTTAATTAATGGAGGCTTGTTTAAGTGCTGATGCATTAATCAGCGTTAAAATTAGGGACATTTCTGAGGAAAATACCAGACTGGAAAGGCCAGTTTTTAGCACTTCTGTAAAACAGGACAGTTTTGTGGCTGTGGGAAAACTGTGGTGTTGAATATAAAATGCCAATTCAACCCCTTGGGACTGAGAGTTCAGCAGTGCTGCTTTATTGACATTTACTAAATGGACAGAGTGTTCAGTATCCGATGCATTTTAGTTTAGGAATCATTGCAGCAAACCTAAATAAACAAGTTGGAATTTTAGTTTGCAGAGAAAATGACTTGAATATCTTATTTCTGTTCATCCTCCCCTCCCACCTTTTCTTTCTCTGCTGCTGCTGGCTTGTAACCCCTTTTCTTTCTGCTGAGCGAAGATGCCGCATTGAGCACTGTGCAGTGCAAGAAAAAAAATCTCCATAAGACCCCACTGCATTTCTTCACTCTGCTGAAAGTAGCTTCTCCTGCCTTGTAAATGATTAGATTTTTTATTTTATTTTACAGAATCAGTGTTTCCAGACCAAAGCGACTTTCACTATGGTAAGATTTCAACTAATTGCAGTGCATTTTAAAAAAGATGCCAACCACAAACTTGATATGTTTTATAAGAAACTGACATTGTAGAACAGCACAAGGTAAGATTACAAGATCCACTGTGCTGAGTATGAGGTAGGAAGGCCTCAGGTGTGTTAGAGAACATTAGTGAACAAAAAGACCCACGAGGACAAAGGAACACGAAAGATTTAGGGAATATAGTTTTTTGAGAGATTAAATTGTTTTTAGCTTATAAAGCAATATCCAAGAATTCATACAATCTTATGGGAAACTGTGGACATAATGCAGGCTAGTTGGCCATCAATAAAGCACGGGAAGACAAAAGAGGATGGTGCAGTCAGAACAGAACAAAGCCTAATATACTATGCCATTTTTCTGCATATCTAAGTCTAGTTGGGGTCAAAAGCAAAGGCTGTGTGTCATAAAAAAAAAAAAAAAACAGCATCCCCAGGTCAAAACATGGTGGTGGCAGCATTATGCTGTGGAGATGCTCTTCTTCTCCAGAGTAGATTTTATTAATTAATAAAATTACACTGCAAAAAATTGCATTTCTATAATCTTTTGCTGTTGTAACACCATAATTTCCCCATTGTGGGACAGTAAAGGGATTTTCTATTCTACTCTGTTCTAAAAAAAATATTTACTTAGATTTTTTGCAGTTTATCAAATATAATTATTAAAACAAGAAAAAGTGCAATTCTGGTAAGCTAATATATTCAACCCCCCCTTTGCTTAAAAACCCCTCAAATAGAATCCATTGAAACGTGTCACGATGGTTTACAGACAACTGATTAGTAAAGGATAAAGATAGAGAGGATAGAGAACTCTAAAGCTGGGTTAGAATATGCAACAATATTGTGCACTTTTTGAAAGAACTCCTGAAAGAAAAAACAATTAGAGGCTAACAAAGACCTGAGCATTGGGAAGAGGTTCACCTTCCAGTAGATCCAGAGCTACAATGAAATGTTTTAGATCAAAGCATTGACATGTATTAGAATAGTCCAATCCAAGTGCAGACCTATTGTAAACTAAATTTTAGCTAGAAGGCTTACTTGGTTACTATTACTATTATTTTGCAAAGACGATTGTAGGAATTTCAGAAAGTTTATTCTATTTTGGAGTACATAAGTGTCTTTTAGCAGTAAAACTGTCTTCCTGTATCCTTCTATTTTAAAATGATGCACATCTTTGAATTTGTCTTTTATATTGTCTTGTGATCACACTTAAAAAAACATGGAAAAGTCAAACATTTAGACTTTTCTAGTTGTGTAGTTTTGTTTTCAGTATTATCATCGTTGTTGTTTTGGCTTAATAAGTAACCTGTCATTTTGTCACCTGTAGATTATGAGACACTGCGGACTACAGGGGTCATCCTTGCTGTCGTTATGTTTGTCTCTGGCATTTTAATAGCCCTGAGTAAGTTAAGACTTTTTTTCAAATATAACAGTAATAATAAGACTTCAATAAATCTATATAAAATATCAATACTTCTGTAACTTATTTATCATTCCTCAAACAGGCAAAAAATTCACAAAATGTGTAAAATCCTCATCCAAGTAAGAATTGAGTTGGATTTAGTGAATGATCTGCCCGTGCATGTTGTATGAATGAGTATGAATTGATTATATAACCACTGTGGAGAATTTCAACTTTCTTTGCTTAAACTGAATGTAGTTGTGCAATTCTACCCCCTCCCTCCCCCTGGATGCTACTTCTCTTGAAAAAAAATAAATAAAATCCTCTTCAATTGAAAATGTTAGTCTCTGATTTTCGGCAGGTCAATTCCAACACGCAATGAGTTCATAAAGAGCTTTTGTTTGAAATGCTTGTTTATTTATTCCAGCTCAGTATTTGGTCTATAAGGCATTTTTTTCTAAATGTATGCATTCAAAAAGACACTCCTTGTGTGTTGGTAATGAATGTAAAAATTCCACCCTGAGCTGATTGCATGTTGCTTGAACTGCAAGACAGGAAGAAAGGCAAGAGCTGCTGTGTTACGAGCACAGGAACTTGGCACACTGGTACAAGGGCATGGTGCTTAAAAGTCTAAACATTGAACATTAAGTAATGAATGTTGATACATTTTTTGGGGTGAAGTATTTAGATATTTTTGATTAGTAGGTCCTTTCGTCCTGCTTCCCTGGAGTTTAAATGTTACCTGACATAGAGGCCCATTTTTATTAGCTTTAACATGGAAATTGGATTGGATTTAGCTAATTTCAGACCAGATCATTTTACACTGCAAAAACAATTTAGAAATGAGTACAAACATTTTTAAATAAATATATTTACCTTTCATTTCAGCAGGTTGATAAGATGATCTGCCAATCATGATTCCATTGGCAGTTCTTATTTTTATTTTAAATGTAAATTATCTCAGTCCGTTGGCAAGGTGTCTCACTTACCTGCTCAATTCTAGAAAATATGCACTTATTTTAAGAAAAGATGACTGCAGAGATTTACATTTTTTTTTCCATTTTGAATATGTCCTCTGAAAGTTTCGTTTTTAATCAAGACTTCTTAATGTGAATAATGGAAAAAGTCAAGTTATATTACACCATTGGGCAGAGTTTTGCTGAATAGCAACGTTAGCCAAATAAACCATGCATTTTCCTGTTTAAAGAAAAATAAATAAATAAAAAAATTGTATATTTGTCGGTAAATGAATACAGATCTTTCAAAAAGCCTAAACTGAGGCAAAGGAGTAAAGACCTCATGATAGCACCGTTTCTGGTATCATGAGGTTGGTCCTTCTCAAAGTAAAATATTAAAAATCATTTCAAGGGGATGTATATCACATCACATTTCCTCTTTACTGTACTCAGAAAGACCATCCGTTTTTTAAGTAACTCTTAGATCACTGCACGTGATAAATGTCCCCAAGAGCTACAGGATTTGGTTTGAAATGAGAAGTGACTTTTTCTAAAGAAGAAAATATACCATTTCAGCACAAAAATTCCATTTATGAAACATGGTGGAAAAAGTCACTTTATTAGACATGTTTCACTTCACTGGTGTTTTTTCCCCATGTTTGATCATTAAGTTCTTAATCAAACGAGTGAACTATTGAGGAAGAGAAAATGGACATGAGTCTATGATGTAAATAAAAAAAAAATTAAAATAAAAAGTCGAGGTAATATTTTGGAAAGTCGGGGTTCAAACAGAAACAGTGTGAAGAAACAAAATCTGTATAAATAGTGTTAGAAATCCCAGTGATTTTAGGATCAAATGTGTCTGCTCAGCAGCGTGGGATTTCATTCACAGAAAACAGATTTTCTTATACCTGCAGATATAGATTAGCCTTGAATGGCCTATACGTATGTAGCGCCTTCTCAAGCCTTCCAAAGCCCTCCACACCACATCCAGTCATTTCAACCATTCACACACTCAATCACATACTGATGATGTAAGTTATTACCGGAGGAATGTGCAGTGCTTTAAGTGGGCCACTAGGTACGGTATGTAGTAGCATCATTTTGAATTTGTTTGTTTTTTTCAGCATGCAGTGCATACTGC